TTTTGTGTAGAGTGTTTGTTTGTGCAAGGGACAACCTTTTGTACAAAACCAAGACATGGTAAAAAAAAAATAAAGAGAAAAATCAAACATACAATCTATGATATTAAAAGATGCATAATAAATTCTTATAAACAGCAAAAACATGAACTTAATTTTCCAATCTCCAGTAAAGTCATCATGTTATTACCTTTTTTTATTATGAAAAAGATGTTTCCAAGAAACGTAACGTGATTATAAAGGGCTCAAGATGTGCATACTAGATCTTAAGTTTGAGTTGGGACGTACATCTCTAGTAAGAACTCGAGACAACCAGAGTTTTACTTGCTCAACTAGGTCCATTAAATATGCTTTTCAAGTAGTGGAGTTTCCTTGAAACCAAAAAAAAATTATGAAAAAAATGTATAGTTATATATGTTGAGACGCCAATCGTTTTCTAGCCTATAAGATTTCATCTTTCTGGTGTATTCACTCTTCCATGTTGATATTGTGAATTAGTTAGACTTTTTCTAACCAATCTTAGAGATGGTAAATGAGAAATTGAGATCAAAATTAAAGGAATAAAAATTAGGAAGGTGCGGAATTTGGATTTGGAGCTCATATCTATAGAAGAAATCCATGATCAAAATTAAAGGAATTAAAATCGAACTTGATTTCAGGCCTTTATAAATTCACTTGTCAAAACCATGCTCAAAAGTTGTATGAAACTGTCAAGACCCCCCAAAAAAAAAAGAACGCTAAAAATATAGACTCTAAATCATTAGTTACCAGCCGCATACAACTATCAAAAAACTAAAAACCTAGGTTTTGAATTTACTTTCAATAAAACATAAAGCTAGATTAAAAGGATTCAATGCATTAATTTTAGGATGCAAATCCCTACTGATTTGTAGTAAAAAAAACACAAAAAAAGCTGCAATATTCTAATTTTGATTTTGTGTTTACGTCTGATTTTTTTCTAGTTTTAGAGGATAATGTGGCTCTTTTCTTTCCTTCCATAGGGTCAGCTACTTCCTTTGAAATGAGGCAACAAAAACGTGGTTTTCAGCTTCAAAAATCAGGTGTGATGAGAAAGGGAAACAATAGGAATTTGTAGAGAACAAAAGGAAAGAAATCAGATAGAGGGTGCAGCTACAAAGTTCTATTTTTCTTATTCGATGTGGTAAAAAATCCTGTCATTTATAATGATATAGCTGCCCTCTCCAGCTTTCAATATCCTTCTTCAATTCAATCCCTCATTTTAACACTTTTTGATTCAATTCTTGGTTCAAAAAAAATCCTTTGAATATGTTGTAACCCATTTTTGGGTACCTATAAATAAAATAAAAAATTATTATTAATTAATTAATTAATTAAAAAAACTGAACAGTGTCGTTTTAACATTATTCCTCTTCCTGCATGTACCCTCATGCACTCTTATGATAAGTAACCGAGGAAGTCGACCAAAAAACCCGACCCCTTATGCACTCTCATGAGGAGAAATCGAGGGAGCGACGCCTTGGCAGCCGCTCCCACTGGCCGACCAACCACCGCATGCCCTGCTCCCCATGTACAACAGTGAAAGAGTCCCGCTTCTCTTTGCCCTATAAATACTGTGCCCTACACCAGCAGAAAGAGGAGGCTTTTCAGGAGGACTAGAGGGGCAGTTTTTGAATGAAAGAGAGTGAGAGGAGGAAAAGCTTTTGGAAAATTGAACGAGGGAGAGAAGTATGAACGAGAGAAGTTGAAAGAGAGAACATAGAGAGGAAAGGAAAAGGAGGAAGTTTTGGAGAGAAACCGAGAAGGAAAGTTTTTGAACGAAAGAGAGAATAGAGAGAAAGGAAGGAAAGGATAGGGAGAGTTTTGAACGAAAGAAAAAGGAAGTTTTTTGAATGAAGGGAGGCTTTCAAATGTAGAGAAGAGAGGGGGGTGCTGTAGAGAAGGAAGAACAATATTGTTGACAGAAGGAACAAAGAAAACAGAGGAAAAAGTCACGCGAAACGTAGTAGGGAGGAGGAAGAGCCACCACGGCAACACCACTACCAAACTGGCCACTAGCACCACCGTCAGCTCATCATCCTAGGTAACTCCCTCCCCCTCATCACTTTTTAAGGGTCGTCTTCTTGCATGCAGAACGTGCATTATGCACGTTCTGCAAACAAGAAGATAATTAGCAGTTACTATGCAAGTACATAGTAACTACTAATTAATTCACTAGTTATTGTGCACATGCACAATAACCCGGTTAATTAATTAACCGGGTACTATGCACATGTGTAGGTGTATAGTACCGGGCTAATTAATTAACCGGGTACTATGCTCATGCACAGTACCCAGTTATTGTTTGTTGCGGGCTGGAACATCAGCCCAGCCCATGCGACTGGGCTGAGTCTAGCCCTGTTGAAAGGGAGCCTATTTTATGTTGGGCTGATTTCGACCCAGTTTCCTTTTGGGCCGGGTCTGGCCCATCCAGAAAATTTTCTTCAAAGAATCTGTGATTTTTTATAATTTTTTTACTGTATTTTGATCAATATCGATTTGTATTTTTATACTGTAAAGATACAAATTCGGTATTAAAATACCCGGTTTTCATTAAGTAAAAAAAATATAAAAATAAAAATGTTTTGTTTTCATGCATACGGCCTAGTCTCTCC